ATGAACAATCAAGCCAGCCATCAGCACCAAAATCATGACACTTTATCTTTGCTCTGTAATCTGCTTATCCTTTAATAATTGTCAGGATAAATCTTCATTGTAATTCTATAATGCCAACATTTGTTGTTACTGTAGCTGTAAAAAATTAACCATACATTGTTTTCTCTAGATTGAAGGGTTAATTTAAACTTCTACTTTTAAACTAAAGTAGTCAGTCTTTGCTTTAAATAACATTCTAATATCCATGCTAATAATAATAGCATTGGCATATTTTGTCTGACAAAGTCACATGCATGCAGAAACTGCGTTGGGCTTTACAAGACAGGCTTCAGTAGAAATATTATGGCATTTCATTTCAAGGTCTTTCTACTGGTATTGCAGCTTCTCATTCTCAGAAGCTACAGAAAACCATTTTCTTTTATGTCAGGATTATATCATTTTTATTTTTATCTTTTTTTTTCCTTTTTCTAAATAAAGACACTGCTTTGTTCTTTTTTCCAGTGTTTTTGGCAGGTGTGAGGGATCGTGTGCCACCTGCTCTTTGTTGTCACTCAGAACAAATAAGCCTTGTTGGGCAGTCTGCACTGTGCTCTTCAGGAAACATACACATGTATGTGTGTGTGTGTGTGTGTGTGTGTGTGTGTGTGTGTGTGTGCACATCATTGTATCTGGGCAGAGAAATACAGGTCCCTGTGTTTTATAGCTTGAGATCAAACAAGGCCTGAGCGCCTCTGCGAGCTCATTAGTCTGGATATCCTCTGTCAACGGCCAAGCCACAATCTTGTTTTAATGAACAATTACAGTGTGTCTCTATCTTAGGATTGAAAAAAGCTGTGGCAATCGCAGACTGAGTATTGTAGTCCATCACATGTGCTTTACTTCATGTTCCTTGAGGATGTCTCCCAAGATAGGGCTGCTCACTCAGACTGCTAAATCTGGAGTTATATCTACTGATATTTCAACAACAGTGGAAGATATTCATAAATTATATTTTATACATTAAAGAGCTGTATGTCATTGTTGCATTTTCAGCATAGGTGTGCAAAATGTTTACTTTACTGTCATGATTTCTTCTAACCAGAGATGCACAAATCTCAAAATCTGTTTCTTTAAAAGCTCTGATCTTCTGATAGAAAAAATGTCCAATTCTAAAACAGCAATTGAAAAGGTCAGATTTACTATTCTATATAGTATTATGTTAAATTGATGAAAAAGTATGTCCTACAATGCATTGTATGGTCTTAAGACTTACAGAGAAAAAAAAATGTTTCAGTATTAGAACAGCTGGTTTAAATCCCAATCAGCGCTCTTGTTTATCGATCCTCTGCTACATGTACAGTTAAAATAAAAAACTGCACACATCAGATGAAAATTAAAAACATTGTAATTATAGCTGTGGAAATTTTGGAATTGAATTAAAGCCTGAAATGAAAATGTTGCAAATAATCTGTATTCGATTTATTGCTGAAAGCCATACAATAAATACCCAATATTGATAAATCGGGTGATGAAGGTGAACAATGCCTACATTCACTTGAGGTTTGCAGGGCAAAAGGCTGCTAATATATATGAACAATGATTGTTAGATGAGAGTGGAGGTTGAAATCCCCTCAAAATGGTAAAACAGTTTCCTTCTAGTACCGATTTACAACCTCTCTGCTTCCTCTAAAATCATTTTGCTGGACCTTTGAGATGTTGAAATGTCTTGATTTGGGTCACTGCAATTGATGCGCTGGGTTATCTGCAGGTGACCACAACATTTTCAGCTTGATCTACTCTACCCCTGACTGACCGGCTTTATACTCAAAAGCACAATTTCTTACGCACCAGTGAACCCACTATACCTAAGCTCTACTGGGTTACACTGAGAACAGCTCTCCTTTCGGCTTAGATCAGGAGCTGCCAACCAAGTCAGTTGGGATGGAACTGTTTATCTACAGCAAGCATGTTCAAAGTCGGGCTTGAGGGCTGCTGTCCTACAGGTTTTCAATGTTTCTCTGCATCTATTCATCCATGCCTGCGATAAGAAGTTTCTTTTGATGTTGTGAGAGGCGCTCTTGAAAGTTGTGACTGGATTTGTTTAAACTTTTAAGCCTCTTTGTATGAAGTACATATTTTGATCAAGATGAGAAATCTGCTTCCTGTAATGTTGAAGTACCAATAAATGGTAATGGTAAATGGCCTGTATTTATATAGCGCTTTTTCAAGTCAGGAGACTTGACCAAAGCGCTTTACACTACATTCAGTCATTCACCCATTCACGCACACACTCATGGACAGCTGTGACTACATTGTAGCCACAGCTTTCCTGGGGCTCACTGACAGAAGCGAGGCTGCCATACACCGGCGCCACCGGGCCCTCTGACCACCATCATTAGACAATGCAGGTAAAGTGTCTTGCCCAAGGACACAACAACACCGAAAGTCGGAGTTGGGGCTTGAACCGTCAATCCTTCGATTTCAGGGCAAACTCCTACATCCAACGCCACTGCCGCCCTAACTAACAATAGTTTGCATCAAATAATTTGATTAAACAGGCTTAGTTTTTGGGAATATAGAACAATTCTGCTGTAATTTGCAGTTATGGAGCTGTTGTTACTATGTTAATTTGACAAACCGGATCTTCTCAACATTCTTTTTCCTGTTTGGTGCGATTGCAATTGCGGATCTTCACCTGGCTGGAGCAGGGCAAAAAATAGCTTGGCTCCATATTTTGACTGAAGGACGAAGAAGACGCACGTGGACCGTGACGTGCGGATGAGTAGCGGTGAATGTGGAATAGTTAGTACGTGAGCAGGGCAGAGCGGAGTGTTGATGGTGGATGTGGAATCTGGGGGTTAGCGGAGAACATCTTACATCTGAGAAGGTGAACATGAACGGTTAATTTAAAACCACTGAGAGCTCTATGTTGTTGGGGTGGGGAAGTCATCTCTGCTGCCTTCATGCTGTATGGCTTCTGTCTTGTGGCACACATTGATGAGGTGTACAGGTTCATTTCATCACAACAGGTGGGTCTTTTTTCAGTTGGTTCTGTCACCTGGCTCCTCCAGCTAACTTGACAGAGCAGCAGACAGACGGAGACTGACGGGTGAGAGGGGGACAAACAGTGGGAGAGAAACACAATAATTAGACTGATGAAGGAAGGCCAGCTTCTATTCTGGAGTCTTAGTTAAATCCCAGCTGCCACAGCGGGACTGAATGTTCGGATTCAGAAGCAACGTAATGGTATTAAGACATCATCAGTTTTCCAGAGATATATATTTTATGAAGCAGGTTTATTAATCAGTATTTGTCTGCTGATCTCATTCTGACAGATTCTGAAACAGCTTGGGTTAAGGCCAATTTATTTTGGTAGATGAAGCCACAATTGGCCTGTGATGTATGATATGGCCTGTGTGTATCTTTGTTAATTTTGGGTCCATATTTATCAAAACACATATATATTATATACAAATATATTTTGAAATGAAAATATCATTTTAAATATCCTGGATACACATCCAGTGACATTTAAGTCCTTGTAACGTTTTTTTTTGTCGCATTACATCCATAAAAACCAAATATAAATGTGCTATATTAGTCTGTTATGTTATGCACCAACAAAAAGTGGTTTATATTTAGTTTTTTTCCTTATTTACTTCAGGATCCTCATTAGTCTCTACCAGAGTAGAGACTACTCCTCCTGTGGTCCATTTTAAATTACAAACATCACAATAAATACATGCAACAAACTTAGTGGCATTAATGAAAAAGACAACAAAACATAAAAAAAATTAATGATTTGTATCTGCAGCTTTCTGTATCTTTGTACAATTCAACTGTTTGGTGTTACAACTTGGTGGTCTGTACATGCAACAGAGTAGAACAGGTTTTTGATGTGGAAGATGCATTTTTTTCTTTGTTTTTTCTATTAACAAATCTCTCATGAATGTTTTTATTCTGGAGAGAAGAGTCGTTTGAGCATTAAAACCCGACAAAGGTCACTATTATGCCTCTTGCTATGCAGAAGCAGCAAGAAAAACAACAACCATGGCAGATGATGATGCTGAGAGCAGTATTTATGTTTAAACATATTGAAAAGATTGTGTTTTTATGGTTGGAAAAGACCGCTAGATTCGCGCCGGCACTACCATCCATGTTTACTTCCGTAAACACAGAGCATGCTGGCCTGTAACGTCATTGCGTCCTCTACTGCACAAGCGGGACACTTGCGTTGTATGACTGCAGTTCACACAGGAGATCACATACAAGTCACATATATCTGGAAATATCAACGGCAATGCGAAAAAAAATTCGGATTTCACAAAAAAAATCGGAATTGAGCATCAAGGCATGCAATGTGAACATAGCCTCAGATTCTAAAAGTCCTTCATAAATCCCACGATAATGTTCTGTTGTTCAGAGACTAGTACAAGTTGCTGACCTGTCATGTTAAGCAAAGTTTTCAATTCCTCAATATCCTTCTTCACCTCTTTTGTGATCACGGTGTTGGCAGCCTCCTGGCCTTGGTATGGTGTGGTAGCTGTAGTAGCGGTTTCCTCCAGGTGAACACAGTTTAGAAACCTAGCTGTGTTTGCTCCAACATGGTTGTCATACAGGTCAGAGGCTACAAGGTTTATAATTACACAGTGGAAGAGAAAATGTTTATGTTTACGTTTTAACATATAAAATAATGACATGCCTTTGTAGTCAGGCCTGTATTCTCTGGTATAACCTACAAGTCTATAACTGCATATATACATGTACCATATTGTTGAGAATCTGTGGCAAGATTTCAAAATTAATATTCACTTACAGTCTTCATTCACTCTCTAATTTTTCTATAAATGATTTGACACAGTTTTAATCTCTCGTTCTCATGCTTGTTCTTTATTTCAAATCTAATTCTTTCCTATTTCTATTTAAAGCTTCCTATATGGGTGTTTTTTTATTGTTTATTTTTGTAGGTTTATAATAAGTTTACACTGGCAATGACCTGTTTCCCACTCATCTCTCCTCAGCACCTCACACTGCTCCACGTTAATAGCAACCAGTGTTTGGACATGCCATCTGAGGAGGACAAGATGGCCCCCACCCTGAGAGACTGCAGCGGTAGCCGCTCCCAGCAGTGGCTGCTTCGTAACATGACTCTGAGCATCTGATCCCTCATCATCAGTCCCACCTCTTCCTGCTTCTAACCTGTCCTCCATCCAGACCCTCACCAGGTGGATCTTCAATCTATGCTTCCTCCTGCAGCTGCCTGGCCACCAGTCATAAAGAAGCTGGAGCGCAGCTGAGGCTTAACTTTCTCTATGGAGTCATATCCTGTTACAGCTGGCCTAAGGTTTAAGCAAAGCCCCACCTGCCTTTCTGACCTCACAATAAGATGCAGCTTTAGGTGGTGTACAGGCTGGGAGAATATTGCATGGGGCCTGAGCATACGGAACATGGAAGCATTTGCTTGTAGCTGCCGCTGTGCTGAAAGTTAAACAAGTAAACAGAAGAGCTGGTTAAATATTGAACTATCCAAACATAGTCTGTGGTGTTATTGAGTGCATCTAATGGTGGTAAAATCTTAGCACAGCTGATTTGCTGTTCATCTTTTGTATCATCACTTTCTCCTTTGCCCAGATTAAAAAATAAAAAAAGGTCCAGCCTTAGTTTGATAGGATGGATTCAGTAAGAAAATATGGTGACAAAACACAGGGTACTATTTTTATTTATTCAGGTTTCCTTTGGTATTAAAATAAAAATTGAGTTTTTGGTTAGATTCATTTCCTTTTCCAAAAACAGAAAGACAAACTTATACATTTTCCTTTTCCCCCTGGATGCATACCTCCCCCCATTTGTCAGGTCTCGTCTGTAAACATGGTTTTTCATTTTATAAAGCATACAGAGATAACAGCCCATGATCAGATGGTGACCCATGAAATTGTTGCTATGAAACACACAATATAGAGAAGGCAATTCAATAAAAAACTGAAAGATAAGAGTTGTACCTCTTGTTAAATCAGTCAATACATTTGATTAACCTCATTATTTGGTTCAGCTTTGCTAAAACACTCAGGCCTGGTATCAGTGAGGCTTATAAGAATCACTTAAAAGGAATTATGTACAGTATGCATATGTGGAGAGAAGAAAATTGTGAACCTTTCCAGGAGTGGCTAACAATATTACTCTAAAAGTGCCTCAGTTGGTTGTAAGGTACACAAAACATATGAAGCCCAGGAGAGTGCATTTTAGTCATGACAACCATGGACATGTTTTAAAGTAAAACAATGGCTGGCCGAAAAGAATACAAATACCTGTTGAAAAATGAAATCATGAAAATCCCTCCCAAACATTTTTTTTTTTGTGATTTAACAAATGGTGAGAAAGTCTGGGGAACAGATCCGTACGGAGACCTTAACAGTCTGAACTGGCCAAAATCTGAAGCAGCAGGGAAAGCAAGATTGCCTAATAGCTACTGTCATAAGCCATACCCATTTTTTCATGAAATAGCATGAATTTTGAGAACATATGCAATGTTCAATCTGTTTTTTTGTTGTCAATATGTGATTGACAAGGTCCCCTTAAGGAAGGTCAATCACACTCTGTAACTGGTACTTCATCTATAGAGTGGGGCAAAAAAATGTTTACTAGAAAAATGAGAGTGGTCTACAATAGATAGATACACTTCAACTGAAAGACACAAATAATGAAGAAAAAAAAATCCATAAACTATAGTTTTTAAGAATCCATTTGTATATTATGGTGGAGAATAAGTATGTGGTTCAAAACAAAAGTTTAACTCAATACTTTGTTGTATAATGTTTGTTGGCAATGACATGATGTTTTTGGGCTTCTGCTGGGGAATACCACTGATCTCTATTTATTCACTGAATTGCTCAGTCAATGTCTTCAAGTCGGTCCGAGATAGCCAGACTAATGTTACACTACATACTATACTATAGGATACATTGGTGTATGTATGATTTTTTTCTTGGTTAGTACATCCACTGACTGTAAAATGACCTGTGAAACATCTTTCCAAAGAGACAAAACTGCTTGCTTTTGCCACCAAATGCTACACAGGTAGGCATTTTTATAGCTTGACTCCATGAGATTGGGGTGTGCCAAGATGGCGGCAGGTAACTTCCCTTTTTTTGGGCTATAAGCAATCCAATGAATAAAGATCAGTGGGGAACACAGACTTTTCTATGGATTTGAAGTCTGGAGTCCGGCTAGGGACTTTCCTTCGTTAACAGGGTGGTGTGTTTGGAATTATCATCATCCTAGATGACCCAGCTTTGCTCTCATTGATGGAAGGAGGGTTGGCTTAAAAATTTCACAATACATGGCCCTGTTTATTACTTCTGTAAAGGTCCCGTTTTTTATAGCAAAATTTATATTTTAAACGTTTTGTAACAGTCGTCTGGGTCCTGAAGTCTGTCCATGAGGTTCATAAATGAAAAAACCCTTTCCCCTCTGTCACTAACTCGGTTGATTTCTTCACAGCAGCCTGCTTGCCTATTGTAGATTCAGTTCTCCCAGCCTGGTGCAGGTCTACAACGTTCTTCCTAGTGTCTTTTAACAGCCCTTCGATCATGGCCATCGTTGAGTTCAGATTCTGACTGTTTGAGGCTAGGGGCAGGTGTATTTTATATATATATTTAATGAATTCTAACAGGTGCTGTTAATCCAGGTAAAAAGTGAAAGACAAAAGTGTTTCCTAAATAGGAAGTTACAGGTTTGAGATGGCCAGAGATCTTGCTTGTTTGCTGATGAGCAAATACCTATTTTCCACTATTATTTAAAAGAACTTAATTCAAAATCCTGGATTTTTTTTTCTTTTCTCATTTGTCTCTCCTACTGTAGTAGGGATGTACTTATGATGAAAACTTCAGACATCTCTGATTTTTTCAGTAGGATAGCTTGCACAAGCACTAGGGATATCCCGAGCTGATATATAAAATCGGTCCAATATCAGCCAAAAATGAATATCCAAATATTTCAGCCTGGATCTAAAACCTGTGATATCAACAAGCTGATAAAACACTGCACGTCTATCAGTCGCTGTGTACAAGTGAAGTTACCCCCGGTTAATAATAAAAGGGTTAGTTCTCTTCATAGCTATTTCTGTTGACCAATATTCAGTTTGAGTAATAACACTTGATCAAATCTTTTCTAATATGCTACACTGTAATATATGTGATAAAATTGTTCATGATTCGTGCAGATATCGTATCTGGTTGATATCTGTATTGATCATTACCAAGGCTACATCAGTATCATATCGGACTGAAAAAGTTGTATCAGGACATTCTTACTAAATAGTTTTTTGCCCGACTGTTATGTTTTACAGTGTGGCCTCAAAGACTCCTTTTTTATCCAAAAAGACATTTAAAATATATTTCTTTGCTGTAAGTTCATGGTTTTGTGGCTCTAAAATACATTTCCCTTTTAGCATCCTCACTCTAGAACAGAACCTGTGAAGTTTATTATGATTCTAATTGCATATTGCCTAAATCAGCTGCTAATCAGGCACCTCGATCCATATTCATGTTTATAAACTTTACCCAACTATTCCATTCTATTTAAAAAAATTTAAAAAGCGGTTGAATTTTTACATAACTTTACCATAAGAAAAACTTAAAAAATTAATTACTGTTGATGCATCTTCCTGATGTCATACTGTGCAAGGTAAAAAAAAAAAAAAAATCAACAATTATTCTCTTCGTCAGAAAAATAAAGAAACAGAACAAAGTATAAAAAGCCTATCCAGTTTGAAGGGTAATTGAGAAGGATTTTAAGGGTTTTTTGGATAATGCCCATTTTGTTTAATATTTTGAAGTTATTTTTTCGATAATTTTGTTAAGCAAGAAAAGAAAGAAAGAGAAAACAATGAGCCTCATCATAGTAGCATGAATTTTGAAAGTAATGTTTTTGGAGGTGTTTCTCAGAAGGAATAATGAGAAATCATACTACTGGAGCCAGATGTTTAATAAGTGTCTGTTTATGCAAAGCTTGCTATTTAAGCACGTTTTTGTTTTCACTTTTTTATTTTCGATAAAATCCATATTATATGCATATGAACAACAGCCATATCTCAAAAATGTTAACTATCCCATTCATGATTTAACAACAGAGTGTTAGCAACAGTGTTATATTCATCTGTTACCCATAGGAATGTGAGAGAGACTTGATTTGCACTGCTATAATGGAATCAGGAAACAAATGTAAATAATGCTGTGAACATGTTTGTATTACTGTTGATGTTGTAAATAAAGAACCAGTTATTTTTCTATGACACTGTACATTTGAACACCCATCAGTTACAAAGGTGATTGAAAGATAGAAAAAAAAGAGAGGTACTGAATGAATGTTTCTAGATTGTTGGTTTTGTAATTGGTTTGGGTTTTGATGCAGTGCCTTGCAAGAGTATACACATCCTTCAAATATTTTGAGGTATTTTTGAGGGGTTTGACCAAGTAAAGTGAAAACAGTTCAGTCCTTTTACTGTTTCATCTCTGAATAAAATCCACTGCTTGTTATTTAAACTCTATATGAGTACAGCTATTGTCTAAAGGCATCTGAGATTTGTAAAAACAGGAGAAAACAAACAGTAAAGTTTCAAACAAACTTTGGTAAACTAATACTGAAGCCTGAATACACGATCCGGACGTCACTGTGGCGACAGTGGCATCTGATAAAGGGGTTTGGCCTGCAACCGGTGGGTTTTCGGTTCAGGCTCCGGCTTTCAGTGTCATAGTGTCCTTGGGCAAGACACTTCACGTTTGATCTAATAAGCTGAAACAATTGTTTACATTCGATAAACATGGAGCAGCACTGGTGTGAGGGATTAGAACAGAGAAAACAGCAGAACATTAAAGCACACTTACTACATCCTGGCCTCTATACATATTGCTCTCCATTGTTTACTGTCCTGATTTCTGTTGCACTGATGACATTATCAATCCTAGCTTAGCGTGATGGAGTCACCAAACACACAGCAGTGAGAGGACAGAGGCCACGCCTCTTGCCCGTAGGGGGGTTAGACATGTTTTTATTGCCATTGGGAAGGAAGCCAAATGGCAATTGTTAGCAGTTCGAAAAACCCAAGTTTACCCACTAATTTCAGTGGGAAAGAGGCCTCTGTGTTGAAATGCAATGGAGTTAGATTGTGTCCGTGGTGTACCTCACCTCACACTCAGTGACTGCTGCAGATAAAAAGCCAGTTCCTTTACAACCCTACCAGAATAAGCAGGTAGAAATATCAACCCTTTTCATATCAATACTTTTGCAAGACACTGCAATCATCCCAAATAACACATTTGAGAATACCCAATGGACCTCAGGTAAGAGTACAGGAGAAAGTAAGTAACTATTAAAGCTACTTGAATTCTTGCAATGTTTACTTTGAATTTAAAGTAAATGTTGATGACCTCTCACATGGTTTAGTCGACTGTCATTCTATGTAAGTGCTCAGAATTAAAAGTGAAATATTGTGTTTTGTGTGCAGGCTGTAAATTGATGTTTCCTCTTTGTATGTTTTGCCTTTTTGTTAAAGAATAAAGACTGAATATAAAAGTTTCCTCAAAATCCCTGAGTTTGCAATACCTTTTAAAGACCCCTGCATATGCCATTAACAAGCCTCATGTGGTTTCTTTAGTAAATTATGGATTGTATATTTCCAAAAAAACAAAATGACTTTGTGAAGGATGTTTCATTCTCCATTGACCCATTGTGTATCAGGAGCCTGTGATTGTCAGCAGATGAAGGGACCCCTGACATGACTCATTATTCTGTGTAAATCTTAGCTAAGAAGGCTTGACCTTTTAAAGGACTCCGCTTTGTTAAACTCTGAAAAGGGGAAAATTACTCTCCCTATAAACAGGGCAGAGAAAAAAGCAGAGTTACCACTGAACAGTAAGAATATTACAGAGCTCATCATTATTTTAAAGAGACTACTATTCTTTTTTTCCTTCTTAGCACTCACTGTGCTGCAAAGCCTTTTGTGCATGTAATACTTTGGCACATTTAGACCACACAAGTTCACACAGAAAAGAAATTTGGACTGTTTGATCACAAAGCTATTGAAGTGTTCAAAATGTATAATCTGGAGTCAGCTGCTTCTTGCTCTACTAAACTCTACCAATAGGAGACAGATGTGTTAAATTTCTGCTGAGTAGCTTATTTACTCCAAGGGAACAATGCACTTATGTTGTCAGCTAAAACTGTCATTATAGTTGATCTGAAAACTGTAAAAACCACTGCTTAAGGGTTTTTTTATGTGATGT